AACAGTCCGCGATTCTCTCCGTAGACTTTGAACTTTGTACCAACCAGTGAAGCATTTTTAACAATTAATTTATTGTACAATCTACTATAGGCCTATTCTACACTTATAACACAACATAAACAAACCAAAACAGAAAATGAACAAAGAGAGATTGAAAAGTTATCCTTAATTCTATTGCTGTGCTCAATGTGCGTAGCTACTTCGCGGCATCAGTGAAGGCCGTGGAAGCCCCATCGCCCATGTCCCATAAGACTTCAATTCGAACCCTAAAAATTATAATCAAACACATAAGACATAGGCCCTATACATAACAAATTAACAAGACATACCTAAGGCCGTAGTTGCCCTTTAGCATTTAAGTTTGAGGACATCATGACAGTTGGCCCCAGAAGCATGCACGGCCGGCCAGTCACGGAAAACTACAGGTATGATAGATAGTTGCTCCAAAAATATCTATTCTCTTTATTATTTTATTTAATTATACTCTCTCCTCATAATACAAGTTTCAGGCCCATCAAACATGGGAAATTTGCAACTTTTGAAGGCATAGGATAGTTATTTGCTGATAAAAATAGCATACGGCAGTATTTTGCAACTTTTTGAAAGTAAAGAGAGGTTTTAGTGTAATTTGACCCAAGTTAATTCTTTCCAAATAGCTATAAAATGAGTAGTTTGTGAAGTGCTTGCTGCAAACTTTCTCAACAAGATGACGAGGAATGTGTAACCAATGGAAGATGAGTAACTTTGTTAAATTGAGCAGATGGTATGGTAATGAAGCATAAATTCAATCAAGTGCACATGCAATTCCATTGAGCTCAAGCCAAGAGAATTTTGGCATGGAATTTTGACTATATAATTTTCAACGCAATTCTTGTCTAAACGGTTAGAGGCATATCACCACCACAAATAGACATAGAATTCATGTAATTATTAGAAGTGTCTCTTTTAGAATATTAGTATATTTTGGACAAAAGAAAATGGACAAATTATATCATTAGGTAGCAAATATTAAAATGCTTTTAACCGTAAAAAAATCAGTTCAAAATATTATAGAATAAAATTATACAATAAGGTCAAAGATGATAGTTTAATTTGGTCAAATAAATTCAAAAGAAAAAAAAATTTACAAATTTGACTAATTCATATAAATAAATTTTAGTACGAAATTTTTATTTTAATCTTTACACAATTTTCTTTCAAACCGTCTCAATATGTGTATATAATCACTACAAAAACACAAAAAGGCTCATAACAATTGTTACGAGATAAGCTCCATTTTAACATTACTCTGTGCATCAATATGTGTATAATCAGGACAGGCGGTGCTAACCAATTCCGAAGTATGCTTTTGGTGTTCTCTCTCTCTCTCTCTCTCTCCTCTTCCCCCTCTATGTTAGGATTTTCGAGAGCTCCTCGCTACGTTGAGGTCCTCTGTTTATCAGAGTTTAGGGTTGTATCTAAGACGATGTGGTTTTTTTGAGATGGATTACATCTCTTCTTTAGTCCGTCGGTCTTGTAGGTTGTATGGACCGAGGACAACATTTGCGCGGAGGCTTGTTCATTTGGGGTCGTTGCGTCTTGGCGGATTTGACACCCGATTTGTGCTGATATTTCCTTTTGATCCTGGTATTGCTCAAATCTCCTTTGTTTCTTGTTTAACTCTCATGTTTGCTCTGCGTTTTTTGGCTTTTAGATGTCGGTGCTTAGCTTCTGTTGCGGTTGTCTCCATGACTTTTGGGGCTCATGGCTATTATTTCTTGTTCTATTCTTGTGGGAATCAAGGACGGCTTTCTGTTTTATGGAGTCGTCAAAGATGGATCTTTCTGATTGATCTTTTATGGAGTTTCTTTTAATGGAGCAATTTGCGATGGAAGGTTGATCTGAAGCATCCACGCCCTGTGCTAGAGTCCGAAGTTTCTGATGCTTGCGCTGATGTGCCCGGTGGTTCATTGATGGGTCGGCTTCTGTGATCGCTCTGTGGTTCTTTCGTTGGTGCTATCTTGACGTCAAGGCTGATGTGTCAGCCCGATATTTTTGATACTCTAGTTTTGATTGATGTAGGCAAGGTCCTTGACTAAGCTGACCTTTGGTGTAGTAAGGCGGTGCAGATATATGTTTGTGGATGTTAATTCTCTCACTTTCACTGACACTTGCTGGATGTTGTTGTTGTCAAGACTGTGATCTTGACATTAGTGGGTGTCGTTAGGTGCTTAATGAGATTTTGTGCTTTGTCTGTGGTACTATGTCCATACTCTTGTAGACGCCGTTTGGCATGGCGGTTTTCTTGCCAGGTTAACCCAAAAAAAAAAAAAAAAAAAAAAAAACAATATGTGTGTGTATAATCAGGACAGAAACACAAAAAGGCTCATAACAATTCTTATGAGATCAACCCCATTTTAACATGCCCCCGGCGGGCTAGCAGTGATGGTGGGGGTTTGGGACTGTCATACCAGCAGCCAATGTTTGAGTCCTCTACCAAGCCTACTAGTTTCGTCGACTAATCTGGTGTTATAGCTGTGGGGCTGGCTACAGTATTCCCAATTTGATACCACATGGTGGGGTCCGTAAGGACCGCTCCGTGGGGAGTTCTGGGTCATCAAAAAAAAAAAAAAAAAAAAACCATTTTAACATTACTCTAGGCATCAACACGTGTGTGTACATAATCAAGACAAAAACACAGAAAGGCTCATAACAATTGTTATGAGATCAACCCCATTATAACATTATTCTGTGCATAAAATAGCAGTATCAAGTTCAATATGGACATTTTTTTTTTATTTTTTATTTTTATTGCTGTACCGTCGTCATTTGAACAGAGATTCGGCAGTCTAATGCTTTAAATTAAAGAACGGTATCTTGCCATTATTAATTTAATTAAATTGAATTAAGCACAGTGACCAATAATAATGCACCATAAGCGGCTTATTTTGTGTGTGAGGCCATTCTCGATTATACTAGGGTCTTTTCACGTTAAAAAGGACTCCATTTAAAGCACAGTATCTCGCAATTATTAATTTAATTAAATTAAATTAAGCACAGTGACTGATAATAATGCACCATAATTTGCTTATTTTGCGAGGAAGGCCATTTTCGATTACACTAGAGTCTTTTCACGTTAAAATGGACTTGTAGATATTATCGTAAAAAATCTAAGTCAACCCACCTATTTAATCTTTTGTCCATCTAAAGGGCTCCAAAATAAAAAGGACTCCATTTAAAGCACATAATCTTGCAATTATTAATTAAATTAAATTAAATTAAGCACAGTGAACGATAATAATGCACCATAATTTGCTTATTTTGTGAATAAGGCCATTTTCAATTACACTAGAGTCTTTTCACGTCAAAACGGACACGTAGATATTACTGTAAAAAATCTAAGTCAAGCCACCTATTTAATCTTTTGTCCATCTAAAGGCTCCAAAATCATAGCAATCTGTTCTATATCAATAAGTTCAATTCAAGTGCACATTTGGCATAAAACGACAACACTTGCCATTATTAATTTAATTAAATTGTAGGCACGCGCCGCACGCACGCGGTGAGATGGTCCTACAGTTGAGAGTCAAAATTGGGATGTAGTCGAAGTCTTTCTCTAGTCTTTGTATATTGTAACAATTGCTGAAGCATTTTTAACAATATATCTATTTACGAGTATTTTACGGTCCACATGTATATAATTGTGCCTCTACTACCCTTGGTAACATATAGAAAGGAAAATAGAAAGTGAGAGACAGAGAGTTCGGTATTTTGCAACTTTTTGAAAGTAAAGAAAGGTTTTAGTGTTATTTGACCCAAGTTCTTTCCAAATAACTTTGACTATATAATTTTTAACGCAATTCTCTTTTAAACGGTTAAAGGCGTGTCATCACAAATAGACATAGAGTTCATGAAATTATTAGAAGTGTCTCTTTTAAAATATTAGTCTATTTTGGACAAAAGAAAATGGACAAATTATATCATTACATAATCAATATTAAAGTGTTTTAACCGTAAAAAAAAAATCCGTTCAAAATACTATAAAATAAAATTATATGATAAGGTCAAAGATGATAGTTTAATTTGGTCAAAAAAATTAAAAAGAAAATAAAAATAAAAATTTGACTGATTCATGTGATTCTTATAAAGAAATTTTGGTACGAAATTTTTATTTTAATTTTTATATAATCTTCTTTCAAACAATTAGAGAACTGTCTCAATATGTGCACCAGGAGTGGGCTCAAACCCACTCCATAAAAAAATATTTACTATACCAAATTTTAGCTCGGTTCAAAAAAAAATTTCTATTACTAGTATTAGTTTACACAAAATAATATTAATCTACCGCATTGACAATTTCTAAACCAGCCCTTGAATATGTGTATATAATCACCACAAAACATAGAAAGGCTCGTAACAATTGTTATGAGATTAGCTCCATTTTAACATTACTCTCTGCATCAATATGTGTATAATCAGGACAAAAACAAAGAAAGGCTCATAACAATTCTTATGAGGTCAACCCCATTTTAACATCACTGTAGGCACCAACACGTGGGTATATATATATATCTTTCAATTGTGTGTGTATATATATAATCAGTACAAAAACATACAAAGGCTCGTAACAATTGTTATGATATCAACCCCATTATAACATTACTCTGTGCATAAAATAGCAGTACCAAATACACTTTTTTAAGATTTCATTTGAGAAAGCATTGAAGATGCTCTAAATGATTCCAAAATCATAGCAATAGGTCCTGTATTCAATTCAAGTGCACATTTGGCATAACACGACAACACTACTTGCCATTATTAATTTAATTAAATTGTAGGCACGCACGAGGTGAGAAGCTCCTACAGTTGAGAGTCAAAATTGGGATGTCTTTGTATATTGTAACAATTACCGAAGCATTTTTAACAATGTATCTATTTATTTTACATTCTACATGTATATAAATGTGCCTCTACTACCCTTGGTAACACGTAGAAAGGGAAACAGAAAGTGAGAGAAAGAGATGGAAAATCTACCCTTTATTCTTTTGGTTTGCTTAATGTTCATAGCCATGCCGGTGGTCCGCGGCGGCACCACCAAAGGGCCGAAAGAAGTGGAAGAGTGGTTCGAGAAGCTCAGCCATGCAAAGGAAAAGGTGACCAAGCTTCGTTTCTACTTCCATGACGCTATAAAAGGGAAGAGCCCAACGGCTATGCCAGTGGCCCAAGCCAACATAACCTATACATCACCCACCTTGTTCGGCCTGGTGAATATGATGGATGACCCATTAACGGTTGGGCCTGAACTATCTTCCAAGCTCTTGGGCCGATTTCAGGGGCTTTATGGCTACGTTTCCAATGCAGAAGTGGGCCTGCTCGTGGTGGCAAACTTCGTCTTCACTGATGGAGAATACAATGGTAGCACTCTTGCGGTTTTGGGTTACAACCCAATATTGCATCACTACCGTGAGATGCCCATTGTTGGTGGCTCTGGCATTTTCCGATTGGCACGCGGAGTTGTTACGGTGAAAAATTATTTCTACAATGCTAATGCCAGTAACGCTACTGTGGAGGTCAATGTCGTAGCTGTTCATTATTAAGCATGATATGCATTGCGTTGTGTGTGTTAACCAATTATGTAGTATGTGTGGTAATATGTAATGTTTTGTTGAACCCGTAAATGGGTCCTTCCCAACAATTTATTAGCCTCAAATAACTTTCTAGGTGCCTTATTTTTGTTTCAATGAAGTTTGGCTGTTATTTCCATTTCCCTTGAAGTCAAATCCTCACAGTTAAAATTTCAAGATTTTTATTTATGATTTTTTCTTTTTCTAAAATAATTGTTCATAGGTAACATTGAACCAGGAATTTTTTTGAGGGGGATGCTGTGGAGAAAAAAAATATATATATATATATATATATATATATAGATGTGGGACAGTAAAGAGTGAAGAAACAAGAGAGCCCATTTACTTTATTTCCTTTTGGATATAAAAATATTAGTGGTTATAAGAATATATATAGTGGGAATTTTTAAAAATTGAGTGAGAATATCAAAGTGTGTGTGAGAGAATCACGAATGTGGCGGCGTGATAGAGAGTGAAAAATAGCTGATTATTTTTTGTATATATAAAAAAAATAGTGGGGCAAAAATGTGTAGTGAGTAGGGCTGCAAATGAGCCGAGCTTTAGCTTGCTTGGGCTCAGCTCGCCTTGTTCAAAGGAGTGCTCGGGCTCGACTCAAGCTTGGCCAAGCTAGGCTCGGGCTTGGGCTTGGGCTCGGGTTCAGCACCTTTTGGCCAAGCTCAGGCTCGACTTGTATGCGTATATTTCAAGGCGGTCTGGCCTTGATCTGATTCACAAATCTACACCATTCTTGGATCGTCGACTTCCGTGTTTTCCATCCAATCTCCCATATTCATCCTCTGATTCCAACTGTAACCATCGACTTCCATCTCCAGTTTCATCAAAATATTATCAGAGTGAAGAAAGGTAAGAGAAAAGATTTATGAGCTCCAAATTCCATAACCATCAATCTCTAGTTGCATCACAATATAATCAGAGTTGAGAGAGAAGGAAACGAGAGAGAACTAACCTTGGAGTTCTGTGATTTTGTTGCCGAGTGGTTGCCGGCACAAGGAAACGTTGCTATGCATAGGGTTTCTATCTTGTTTAAGTGGATGTAAGAAATTTATTCAATGGCTGAGATTAAATCATGAGTTGGGCTAGCTATTTAGGTAATAAAATGGGCTTCTAATCTGAAAAAAATAAAATAAAATAAAAAATAAAATAAAATAAAATAAAAAAATAAAGAACGGGCTTCTGAAGATTATAATATGAATTAGGCCCATGAAAGATATGTAATATGGGCTACACTTGCATGGATGGGCTAAGATTTTACATATATAACAATTTAAATATAATTAATTTTATATAAACGAGCTTGTTCATGAGCTTTATGAGCCGAGCTTACCATTGCTCAAGCTCGGCTCGTTTACTAAACGAGCTTGAAAAATGAGCTCAAGCTCGGCTCGTTTAGTTAACAAGCGAGCCCAAGCTGAGCTCTTTACGAGCCGAGCCCGAGTTGTTTATAAACGGTTCGGTTCATTTGCAGCCCTAGTAGTGAGGTATTTTTACAAATTGAGAGGGAGTATTTTTAAAATTTTAATAAAAAAATATTCTAGGTAATAAAGTAAATAGAAAAAAATCTAGTGGGGGCTAGTCCTTAATGAGATCCATTGTCTGGTCATAAATGGTTGCGGAACCCTAATTTCAAATCCTAGCTTGAGCAAACACCAAGTTGAATTTGGTTGATTTTCTTCCTCAATCCTCACTCAACTTACCCTCTATTTTCTTTCTTTATTTATTTTCTTAGCCAAACTGCACTTAACACTCTTGAACTTTTAAATGTAACAAGTAAACTCTCAAACTAATCAGTACGAAGAACATTGATCTCTTAAAACCAAAGGGCAAGTGCTTAGCAGTACCCACTCTTATTCTCCAAATGGGATGCTACACTTTGCATATATTCACACTTGCATAAATTCTGCGGGGTAAAAACTAGAAGTCTTGTTTTGTTTTGAGTTATGCTGAGATGAGCAGGTGGATTTGATGATTTTGATAACCAAGGCATAATAATATATATATATATATATATATATATATATATATATATATAAAAAATAAAAAATAAAAAAAAGAAAGAGAGAGAGAAAAGAAAAAAGAAAATAGAAAGAATTGGTATGTATGCAATGCAATAAAAAAAAATTCTTCACCAATGTGAATAAAAGAAAAGAAAAAAAGTGAAAAAAATAATTAAAAAATGGTCAAGTTTAGGTCTGTACCTATATTGCTTGAGCAATTAAGTCCTTAGGGGTGTGTTATGATACCTAATGCCCTAAGACCATCTGGTCTGGGAGTCGTTGGCTGAAGGTTTGTTACATAAGGGGTTTAGGTTGCCTAAATTACTTGAACAATTAGGTCTGTAGGGGTGCTTTATCACTTAATGCCCTAAGACCATTTGGTCTGGGAGTCATTGGTTGAAAGTTCGTTACATGGGTGATTTAGAAAGCTTAATAGACCAAAACATTGCACAGTATCTTTTTTGAAAAGTACATACCTTAGAAAAAATAATAATGCCTTGGGAGTTGGAATTTGAAAAGTTTGCCTGTGAATTATGGAATAGTAAGGAATAAATGCAAGCATGGACAGTAAGCCACACGTTTAATTGTAAGATCACTTTCAAAAAGTGTTTTGGATATTAAGATTGTTGAATAAATGATTAAACTGACATATGGGGACCATGGCTACTAAATTGAAATTGAAAATTGAAAGTTTTTCTAATTACATGATTGGCTGTACTTGTTGTATTTGACTGATTAATAAGTTGCAGGGATATTATGATTTGAAAACAGGCTTAAATGAGTTTATCGTACAATCAATTTACTGCTTTGAGATGTTTGTGGGTATCATCATTGGAAACCCTCATGAGACTATAACTCGTCCACTAGGAGTAACCTAGAGGTTTAAAGGCTTGTTGTATAAACTAAATGCAACTGTAATTCCCATGAAAATGGCTTTTTAGTTCTGTATTGCTAAGGGACTATCAATATGTAAGTTTGGGGGTGTGATAAGCGCTGAATATTACATATTTGAGCTCCTAAATATACGTATGTTAAGGCCTAAAGTGACACTTCTATCCATTGTTAGACTGATTTATATTTAATGTGTGTTTATAGGTACTTTCCCAAAGAAACGGTTAAAATCGAGACTTTATGATGAAAAGACTGATATTGAAGTTTATAGAGTCGTTGCCGGTTATTCAGAGCAAGTCAAAAGCTTAAATGGTGAAGTTTGGACGAATTCAGGATCTAAAGCTCGAGCCCAAGTATTGAGGCTCGAGCTTTGCAAGAAAAAAGAAAAAAATCAACAAGGCATTGAAGCTCGAGCCTTGTACCTCCAAAGGTCAAGCCTTACTCAGTAATGCTGGAGCTTAACCTCAAGGTGTTCGAGCCTTGACCCTCAAGCTCGAGCACAAGGCGTCAGAATTTGAAGGGTTGATTTAATAGAAAAACCAAGCTCCCAGGGCCTTCGTGCCCAACCTCAAGGATCGAGCACCATTATCCAAAGCTCAAGCCTTGAGTACCCAAAGCTCAAGCTTGATACCTAGAGCTCGAGCCCATGAAGCTTGGATCGAGCAATGTTAAAAGAGATGAATCCAAAAAATATTCTAAGTGTTGAAGAAAAAACGCTTTAGAAAATAGTTGAAGAAATTTGGCTAAGTGTCAAAGTGAAGATCTAGCACCATTCCTTAAAGCTCGAGTACTAATCCAAAGAAGCTCGAGCCTTGTTCCCAAAGCTTGAGCCCGAACCTCAAAGCTCAAGCTCTATTTCCTAAAGCTCGAGCCTTCCATGACAGATCAGATTTAAGTTACGGAATTATTCTCTTTACAAGTCATATCTCATTCTAAATGGGCCAGAAGACCTAAAAGCCCACCAGACCTTTATTTTCTTCTATAAAAGAAGGCATAGGCCTTGATAGAAGAAGTTCATTTTTCTCGTATTATTCAGAAGGTTGATATTGTGGTGGCGGCTTTTAGGGTTTCAATAACCTTTGAAGGTGAAGATTTTGATAAGAGAAGTGTCGTCCGTAACGATGGAGGCGACTACAACACAGATGATATTCGACATCGTCGTGAATAGCTAATTACTCTCTTAGGGCACTGATGTAACCCAATCTAGTACTATGGTTTGAGTGTTTTTAACTCTAGGATATTTTAATATAAATTATGTTTTTTATTACATGACTATGAGCAATTAAGACAACTCAATTGGATTTAATGCTTTAAATAGTTTTTAAATTGTTATTACCTTATCTTAGATATAACTGTTTGTTTTCTATTCTTAACTTATTCTTATTGAACGGTATATGGCGGAGCCCTGCCGGACATAAGAATAGAGTTCATGTAATGGTGTTCCAATATTTTTTATAAAAGAATGTTTACATAGTCTATGCTTAGGAAAAATGGATCGTTTATAAATTAGTTAAAGTAGTTAGAGTAGGTAGGTGGATAGTCTATGCTAACCGCAGATAGGTTATAGTTAACTGAATTTTATAAAATGTCTTTCTTTAAAACCCGAATTGAATGAATGTTATTGAGTTCAATTCATTTAAAATATAATTTGTTAAATCCCCGAGTTAAAACAGTTAACCATAGTATGAAGGTTGTAGTGAAGTCAAAGCCCTAAGATGTTTCTCTTTCTGATCACTCTAGTTTAATTTTGGCTTAATTTTAGTTTATAATTGTGACAACTAATAAAACAATTCAATTGGTTACCTGTAAACCAATAGAGATTAATTAAGAGCAAAACATAATAACTCATCTCCCTGTGGGTTCAACACCCTCTCTGTAGTGCTATCCTATAAAAATTCTTACTATTACGAGTGGTTATTTATAATTGACAAAGTAACAACACAACATAAGTGACCTTCTAAGAAGTCTTGAACTCAAAAGAAATTAAAGGATGCGGAAACTAAGGTTATAAGGAAACAAAAACAAAAACAAGGGTAGAATGGTCATTTCATAACTAAGAAGGGAAAT